GCGGCTTTGTGCTCCCCAGTGCTGGGGGGTCGAGGGCACCGTGCCAGGAGATTTGCCTTTTCTAGTTCAAAACAAAATGTACCGTTGAACCCTTTACCACATGATATTTGGTTATCGGTACTGGGGGGCATGGGGTGGTGAATTTTACCCCCACCCCCACCCCTTTTGCTCGTTTGTTTGCTTGCTATATTTTATTTTAATTTTTCTTTATTTTTTTCTTGGGGGCAGGTGGCTCTTTTTAGATCAGGAATCCACCTGTCTTTTCTCCGTGTATCTTGTGTATCTCGACCCTTTTTTATCCCATCGCTATTTTCTGGCTTCCTCTGGACTCTGGGAATACCCATCTCGGGGTAGAGGGTGAAAGTGAGGATAGGTGGGAACAGTGACCCCGTGCAGAATCGCAGGGAGCCGGGCATCCACCGTGAGGCGGGGGTCCGCGGGCGGGGGCCGCTGCCTGCCCCGCCCCCGCGTTTCCCGCTCTGGGCGCCAGGGGTCGCTCCGCCCCGGGCCGCTCACAGCTGCTCCCGGCGCCAGGCTGCTCACACCACAGTCCCTGCCGCCCCGGGAGGGAGCAGAGGAAGGTTAGAGACGCAGACAGGGAGCCGGTTCCGGAGGGACACGCGGGGCCAGGGCTCCAGCACCTGGGCTGGGGCCGCGACAGGGGGAGGAAGGTGGGTCAGTGCTCGCCAAGAGGTAGAGAGAGCTCAAACCTAGGAGGAGATCGTGTCCGGTGGGTGCCACCCCCGGCGCAGAGCCCGGGACGTCCAGAGCGCGGAGAGCAGTCCCCTCTCCGGCCGGGAGAGATCCGTCCGGGTGGCTGGGGACCTCGGCTCCGCCATCCCTGAGGAAGAAGCTGTCCAGAGAGCGAGCATCCTAGACCTGTAAGAAGCCAGCTGTCCGAGAAGCCGCAGATGCCAGGCTCCCGGGAGCGATAGGCTGAGCAGGGGGTGAACAGAGGACCCCCGGCGCTGAACCGTCCGGAGCTGCCCCTGACCCAGCCCACGCGGGACCTTCGCCTGCCTCGCCGGAAGGTTTGGGGAGCCGCACCGCGGAGGCGGGAGCCCGCAGGGGCGGGAGGGGGGCTTCGGGCGCAGCTGCCAGGGGGTCCCGACCCAGGCGCGAGCCCGGCCACCGGCCGGTTCGGGGGCCCTCCAAGAGCCCCGAGCCTCTCCGACGCCATTGCGCCCAAGAGCGAGGAGGACCTGCTGGCCCTGGCCGCGTCGCGTCTGAGCCGCCGCAAGCGGGTGGCGGGCGCGGCCGTCGGGGTGGCCATGGTGCTGCTGCTGCTGGTGGCCATCCCGCTGCTGGTGCACAGCTCCCGCGGGCCGGCGCACTACGAGATGCTGGGTCGCTGTCGCATGGTGTGCGACCCGCACGGGGCTCGGGGCCCGGGACCCGACGGCGCGCCGGTCTCCGCGCCCCCCTTCCCGCCGGGCTCCAAGGGAGAGGTGGGCCGGCGGGGGAGGGCGGGTCTTCGAGGGCCCCCGGGGCCACCAGGGCCCAGAGGGCCTCCGGGAGAGCCGGGCAGGCCAGGCCCCCCAGGCCCCCCTGGCCCAGGCCCCGGCGGGGTGGCGCTCCCTGCCGGCTACGTGCCTCGCATCGCCTTCTACGCGGGCCTGCGGCGGCCGCACGAGGGCTACGAGGTGCTGCGCTTCGACGACGTGGTGACCAACGTGGGCAACGCTTACGAGGCGGCCAGCGGCAAGTTCACCTGCCCCATGCCCGGCGTCTACTTCTTCGCGTACCATGTGCTCATGCGCGGCGGCGACGGCACCAGCATGTGGGCAGACCTGATGAAAAACGGGCAGGTGAGATGCCCCCTCACCCACCAACCTCAGATTCGCCAAGCAGCTTTCTTAAATCTCCCTGCACTCTCATCACACAGCCCATCCCCTTCTCCAGGAATGCCAGGCTGCCAGGTCCTGGGCAGTGCACAGTAGGCAGGTGTTCCCATGGGGGTATTCAGCTTGGATTTTTTGTTTTAAGGAAAAAGTAAAAAGGAAGGAAAATCCTGGCTTATTTACCATCAGTTCTATGGCTGGTCCCAGGGCCTAGCGCCAATTACACTCAGCTAATACTGAGTCAGTGGTCAGGGGCAAGAAATGGTATATTAGCCAAGGGACCAGCCAGGCAGCGTGAAGGAACGGATTTGGAGAAGGAAAAGGGCAAAGGATGGGTTTGGAGGAGGAGAGGCAAAGCGGAGAAGGGAGGACCTGGCCCAGTAGGCCACACATCCTCTGGCAACCTCTGGCCTCCAGGTCCTGCTGCTCCCTGTCCCTGTGGTCAGAGCCAGAGTCACTGCTGCCTTGGCTTCTTAGCTCGAGGCCTCAGGCGTGGGGGTTTGTATAGGTGCCTGGGCGTAAGGTGGAGACTTAGCGGTGACCTCTGAATGCTCCCTCCCAGCACACACTGGGAGTGGGGGGTGTTGTGCTGCATCAGGCCTGCTCATCCTGGCTGGGGGAAAGCCCCTCCTGCTGCAAGACCCAAAGGCTCTGCACTGGGGTCTCCTCCCAGCAGGCTCGCCCGGAAACCCAGGGAAAGGGAGTGAGAGTGTACGCGTGTCTGTCTGTATGAGACAGATTGTGTGTGCAAGTGAGTGTGTATTGATCTGAGTGTGTCTTTGGGTGCTTGGGCTGGTGCAAAGGTGTGAACAAAGAGCCTGTCTATTTGCGTGTGGCCCTGAGTAGGTGTGTGGGCTCTGCAGCGGCGGGATGTCTGTGAGGGGGGGAGGCAGTGTATGCAGAGTGTGCCGGTTTCTGAGGGGGCCAGGGCTGCGTGGCTTCCACTCAGAATTGCACTGCACGGGCGCTGCGGGCCCCGAGGACAGTAAATAGTGATTAGAATAATGATGAATAATTAATGAGTTAATAACCAGCCCCTGCGGGATAGGAAGAGGGGGGTTCGTGGCGGGGCTGGCAGCTCGAGGTGAACAGCAGCAACAGGGAGACCAGCAAGGAGGAGGGGCTACCTGATGGGGAAGAAGGCGACCCCTCTGGGTGCGCTAGAGGGAACTAAAGGGGAAGGGGCACCCCAAGGCACGAATGCATCATTGCACCTTCCCATTTAAGGCCCGCACCCTTGATATGCATGGCCATACCTGTGTCCTAACGCTTGGGGATAGGAATGCAAGTTTAGGAGGCCAGAGGGGGTTCAGAATCTTAGAAATTACCCTAGAAATTACAGAGTAATTTTATTTCTTACACGATGATAAGAATAGCAAGGCCCTATAGTATTTTCTTTGTGCAAAGCACTGTTCTAATACACTTCACATGCAGTAACTGTTTGGGGTAGGCTCTATTATTACCTTCACCTTACAGCTCAAATTGAGGACCAGAGAAGGTGTGAGACCTGCCGGTGTCACACAGCTAGTGAGACTCGTGCCTGAGAAGCTCTGCAATCTCCTGGCCTCTCCTTGCCCACCCCAGCCCCTGCCCCAGCTTTCCCAGGCCCTGCTGCACGTACTCCGCCCGGCCCTCTCATCCCCCAGCTCCGCAAAGGGAGTGAGGGGGTTGTTCTGCTCTCTCTCCGTAGGTCCGGGCCAGCGCCATTGCCCAGGACGCAGACCAGAACTACGACTACGCCAGCAACAGCGTCATCCTGCACCTGGATGTAGGCGACGAAGTTTTCATCAAGCTGGACGGCGGGAAGGTGCACGGCGGGAACACCAACAAGTACAGCACTTTCTCGGGCTTCATCATCTACCCGGACTGAGCCGGCCCCCTCCTCTCCCCCCTCGCTCGCCCTTTGTCTCCTCTTCCCTCCTCACCCACCTTCAGTTGGCCCCACCCACGGTGCCACCCATCCTTTGAGAGCCTGGCTGTGGGGTGGACCTGCCTGCTCCCGGAGGAGGCCTTGCTGGGCAGTCTCTCTCGGTGCTTCCAGGACATAGTGGCTGGGGAGCGGACCACCGCGTCCTGCGGAAGCGGGTCTGAGAAGGGAGGGCGGAGGCTGTGGCCCTCTCCCCCGCTGGGAACTGGGGAACAGCCTCATTAGCCAGACCTGGCATTGGAGGGGGAACAGAGATAGAAGCTCATGGAGGTGGGAGATGTTGGGACTGGGGTAGGCACTGGTCCTCTGTCATGAAACCTCTCTGGCCATCCCCCCTTTCTCAGGCTCCAGGCTCCTGCCCTGGCCGCCTTCTTGTGAACGGGAGGAACCAGTGAGTTCTTTCCTCGCATTTAAAGTCCATTCTGTACAGTCCCCATGTCACCTCCATCTGGGCTGCTGTTGCCTCTTCCAATAAAGTGACTTTAGAGAACGTGTGTGCCTCTTAACTGGTGCACAGAGTGGGGACAGAGGGCTGACCCTTACCCACACTCCTCTCACCCACCCACCCTGCCTGAGGCAAAAGCTTGGTTCTTCCCCGCAAGCCTGCCTCTGGAGAGGGGGCGCAGCCCAGGGCTTCCGCTGTGAGGTGGAAGGGGGAGGGGAGCGGCAGGAGCTTCAGGAGAGCTTCCGGCCTCACACTGGAGGGAGACACCAACCAGTGACACCAACCAGGCGGCAAGGATATGGGTCTAGTGTTCGGTGTTCTGCCTGATGCAGGGAAGGTCCTAAGAGGATCTCTAGGGGATGAAGACGGGGCTGGTGGCTCCTGGAAGTGGCACTGATCTTAAGAACCAGGGAGACAAACAGGTGACTGAAGGGGACAATGAGTGCTGCCCCCACACTCACAGAGCTTGCTGAGTGGGTGGGGTGAACAAGAGTGGGATGATTTCTTCCCTTCAGGACAGACCTAAGGTGAGGGAGCCGGGGATCCTGGCAGCCCAGAGCTGGCTCTAAGCTGGAGGACACTGCCACCACGTGGGCAACTGGAGAGCAACACCAGGTGCCGGCTCCGGTCAGGCCAGCGGGAAAGACACTCAGAACACTTTAGAAACTTTATTGAAGGATAAAAGGGTGTCCACTGCCAGACTCCTGATCCCATAGGGTGGTCCGACAATAAATAAGGGCTAAAAGGAAGGGTCAAGATAGGGCAGGAACGGGTGGAAGTGGGCGCCTCATGTTGGAGAGTCCGGAGGGCCTGCAGCACCAATTGGAATAAAACACTGGAGAGAGAGAGAAAGACATGTCACAGCCCGGCCATCCTTGAACTGAGCCAACGCGCCCCCAATAATCTTCACAAAGGAGCCAGCATTGGTCCCTTTGCTCTGCGTCCTACTTCCCACAGGCCAGCTGTGCAGGCACAGCCTGGCTGTGGATGGCGGGGCTCACCAGGGCATCCTGCCAGTCCAGTAACTTGGCCACAGGGTTGGTGCAGACACGAGAGGGGCCTGCGGGAGGGGCTCGGCTGGTGTAGAAGGCACACTCGTCATCCAGGCGCACCTCATGGAAGCAGTGGATGGCGGTCAGGCATGCTTTGAGGCGCTGCCTCAGGGCCAGGGTTCGAGGAGCCAGACTGCTAGGGCCTGGGGGGGGGGGTCCATGGGCCAGAGTTCAGGGTGGGCTCTGTAGTTCCTTACTCTCACCTTATATTGCCCTTTCTCCATCCCCCACCAAGAGGCAAGCCAATTAGGAGCACAGGACTGGAGCCCAGCCCCTCCCACTTCCGGAAGGAGAGCCAGGCTGGGCAAGGTAGGTGGAAGCCAGCCAGCCCAGGATCACCCGGTGCAGGCAGAGGTCCTGCTCCCAGCGAGATGAGGACCTCCTCTGTTCACAGACCCTTCCAACCAACCACTTACCTGCCTGGCCCGTCGGGGGCCTCAGAGACTGGAGTGAGTGGACAGTGGGGCTGGCACAAAGTGGGCGTTGAGAGGAGATCACACTGGTGGTCTGAGCTGGAGCCCATTGACTGCAGCAGGACTGTGGACTAGACCCTGTACCCCTAGGTTCCAGAGGGCAGAGCTCTGATGCCTCTGCTTCTACCCGAGGGGAGGGCTCTGGAAGTCCGGTCTGCCTCCGGGCGCGGGCCTGACCGGGTCCAGGCTCCACGGGAGGGCGAGCCTCAGACACCTCAGGCTGTTTCTGGGGGGTAGGCTCCGGGACCTCAGGCTGTTTCTGGGGGGTAGGCTCCAGGACCTCAGGCTGTTTCTGGGGGGTAGGCTCCGGGACCTCAGGCTGTTTCTGGGGGGTAGGCTCCGGGACCTCAGGCTGTTTCTGGGGGGTAGGCTCCGGGACCTCAGGCTCCCTCCTGAGGCAGGGCTCTGGGGGGCCTGGCTCTGCCGGAGGGCAGGGCTGAGCTGCCTCAGGTTCTGCTCCAGGGCCCAGCTGCGGCTCCCCACACTGCTCTGGAAGGCAGGGCATTGGCAGTCCAGAGTGCTGTAACAGTTCAGGAGGGCGGAAAGCCCCAGAATTCTGCTCTGGGGCATCCGGAGTTCTAGGAATCTCTGCCAGCAGGGACTGAAGTTCAGCCATATCCAGAGAGGGGCCTCCGTTAGGGGGGGCACACTTGCTCCCTGCCAGCCCATCTACCTCCTGTTGCAAAAGCTGCTTCAGGATATTGATGCGCTGTGTGTGGGAGAGAACACCCCAGTGTGATGTCAGGATGAGGGTTCAAGGCTCTGCCCACACTGTCCTATTCCCATACCCCCTTTCGCCTCCCCTTTCTCCCTCCCCCAGCCCTGTCCCTGCCCACCAGGCATCCAAGCTGTTGCCCACAAAGACCCACCTGCATCTTCAGCTCTTGGAGGTTTGGGGTTCTACTAAGTTGGGGTCCATGAGGCGTTACTGCAGGCGGTTTCCCAGGCCCCTCCTGTAACCTTCTACAACTCTCCTGGTCGAACAGCCGGACTGCAATCTGCTCCTGCCACATGGGAAGAGAGAGGGGCCCTGAGAGGAAGCCTGGTAGGGACAGAAAGACCCACCTGAGTCCCGCCCTCATGAGGAAGGGGTCAGGCTTCTAACTGAGAGGCCCTAGACTGAGATTAGGAGGGGTAGCAGAGAAGCAGGGAGAGGCAGGTCGCCTTTCCAGAGAGCCCACCTGCCACAAACTGTCGGACCAACAGGACAGAGTGAGGGGTTTCAGCACGGAAAGGCCCTGGGCACTTACCCAGGGCAGAGCAGGCTCTTCAGGGCAAGACTGAGGAGAGAGGCCACTCAAACATGGAGCCTGGGACAGAAGTGAGATATCATAACTCTTCCTATACCCATCCATTCCCTTCCTCTGCCAGCCACTCCCTCTGCCCTCTCTTACCTGCTGAGCTTTGGGGGCCGAAGGGATGGGCGTGAACTGGGTTTTGGGGCGAATGGCAAGACGCCGCAACACTGAATATGAGGGCTGGGGAGAGAGGAAGTTGGCTGAGCAGTGACAAAGCCTAGACCTAGCAGGGATCCCAGCCAGACTGGTCTGCCCTTGCCCAGCCCTGAGGAGCTGTGGACACGAACCGGAGCTGAGGAGCCGGGGGAGGGAACACGCTTGGCCAATCCGAAGGGGGATGGACGGGGGACGGATGGTAGCAGCACAGGCCCAGGGGAGGGCATCGGGTGGCAGTCACGGCTGTCCTGTGGGGAGGAACAAGGTGGAAGAGTGATCCCTCCTTCCTTCCCTTCCTCAGTCTTGCCAGCCAGCCTGATTCTTTTAAGACTTAAATCATGTTACTCCCTTGTTCATTCCCTCTCCCCATGGCTTCCCACTCATTCCAAGTAAAACCCAAGGTCTTGCACTGGTTTGTAAATCCTTCCCCAGTCCAATCCCAAAATTGCTCTAACCTCACTTCCTGTCATTCTCCTTCCTCACTTCAGAATTGCCGGTCTCCTTTTTTCGCTGATCCTTAAATAAACTAGGCATATTTCCTCCTCAGCGCCATTGCATCTGCAGTTCTCCTCCCAAATATCTGGATGGCTTATTCCCTTAGCTCCTCTGGTCTTCACTTAAATGTCATCTTCTCAATAAGATCCCCCTGACCAATCAAATTTGAATTTGTAATATCACCTCCCCACTTCCACTTCCATGCCTTATTTAATTACAGAGAACTTATCACCATCTGATACACTATCTATTTTACAATGTGTTTACTTTTTGCCTCCCCTTTGTAGAATGTGAATTTATTTGCTACTGTATATCCAGAACCTAGAACAGTGCTTAACACAGAGTAGCTTCTCAATTCATACTGTGATGGGAATGAATGAATGCTTTGGCTGAAAAGTGTCAGATCTCTCAGCTCTGTTCCAATGGTGATACAAATATACACCAGACTGTGACCTCTCACCTCCAGGCCCAGACACCTGGTAAACAGAGGCCAGTCCCTCTCTGTGAGGGCGTGGGCTCATCAGGAGCAAACCCAGATCCAATTAACATCTGAAGTTCAGGACTACCTGGCTATACCCACAATCCTCAGTGTTGGCTGCTGCAGTGATGGGGCAGTGAGGGCCTCTCCCCTGCCCCACTTCCCCAGGCCTCTCCCCTGCCCCACTTCCCCTATCCCACAAGGGACCCATCTCACCTTGGTGTGGGTTAGCTCCCGGCTCTCTCTTAATGGAACCCACTGGGCTGGATCAGGAGGGCCCCTTCCTTCTTCAACTGAGTGAGTGACTACTTCGTGTTCTCCATCCAGGACAGAGGAAGCTAAGAGGAGATAGAAAATTTCTGTAGAACCTGGAACACCTACCAGAGTTTGGCAAGGGCTTTGCAACCTCAAAAGAGGGTATATCAGTTTGACAGCCCTCACTGCCCCATCATAGGTGGAGATCCATCTAATACCTCAGTAATCACTTACTAATCTGAATACCCTGAGTGGGCTCCAGAGGTGCTGATGGCTTTTAGGAGCTGAGGATAAAGTAGTGAGTGGAAGGCAATTCTTGTAGGAAGTGGGAGGAAGAGGGTAGGGACCACATACTTTGACGAAAGTGCAACTGGGCCAACCTCTGGCCTATCAAGGTCTCTTCCTCTCCAGCTCCTTCTGATCTGGCCTTGCCCCTTTCCCCCAGCCCACTGAGCTTTTCCCTCTTGATCCCCAGTGCAGACAGCCCACTTGCCCCTCTTCTCTCCCCATGGCCAGACACACTCACCAGGCTGGACTTGTGTCTCCAGATGCAATCCCGAGGCCTGGCTCACTGCAGTCCTGATGATAATAAGGGCAGCATCTAGAAGTCACTGGGTATCAAGTATGAGCTGGGCACTGTGCTAACTGCTGTACAAACATCAGCTCATGTAATTCTCACCACAACTTCTAATGATGGCACAAACATTATCCTCATTTGACAGATAAAAAAAAAAAAAATTGAAGCGTGGAGATTAAGGCAAGCTTGCACAACTAGCAAGTTTGCTAAGAGTCAGGAATCAAACCCAGATTCCATTTATTGCCACAATCTGTGCTGGAGCCACTAATCAAAAGACATAGCGCCTCTCATTTTTGTACCCTTCCTCCCCCACAACCGGAAGGAACTGATGTCCTACTGAAGCCTGGCTGACAAGGCCTGAATCCTGTTCCAAGGGCTCACCTGGGCAGTCACAGGTCCACCTCCCCCTTCCCCTCCTGGGTTGGCGGGAAGTCCTAAAACTACTGGAAAACCCTAGCTCCGAGGGATCCCTGTATGGAGCATTGGATCATCCTTTTCCAAATGACCGCCTCCTTCTCACCTGCTGCTGCCACCTGTCTCTCTTTTTAGCTCCTGGAAGCCGGGGCGAGCAGAGGACTGAAAGGAAGGTCCTGAAGGTGGAATCTGACCCATAAAAGCAAAAGAGAAAAAGCATAGTCAGAGGTGAGCCCCAAACCTTCAGGCTTCACCACCAACCCCATCTGCCTCCACAGACCCCTCCCCCTCCCTTGGGTCATCACGAGATATCTTCTCTCCAAGGCCAGCTATGTCCCCTGGAAGGAGCTCCCAGAAACACTGAGGATCAGCCCCCCACGGGCACTCACCACAGCCTCTAGCTTCTGGGGGCACAAGGTCCAGCTGCGGGGTCCTGGTCCCTCTAGCCTCGAAAAGCAGGAAGCCCTGGCAGGGTCCAGTCGGGTTTGGGGGGTTCTGGGAGCCAAATATGCAGAGGCCCGGGCACCCTGGGAATCCCAAAAGAGGCTGTCAGCTCAAGAATTCCTCCTCAGTCCACCCCAGCCTGACCTCATCATATTCTGTCTCATTACCTGGCCCCTCCGGATGGTGCCTCCCTGGCTCTCTCGAACCAGTACCCTCTGAGCCAGACTGGGCTGGCGCCCCAGGCGACAGCTCTTCACCCCCTCACCTGACAGGATGGTAGCCAGGGCCTCAGGGTCAGCCACAAACTCTATGGCCCCTGGAATCTCTGTAAAGGGAGAGAATGAAAGATGACATGGGAAAGGAAGAGGGAAAGCTAAGAGGGGCCAGGCACCCTAGTGTAGCCACCTGGAGGTGCAGCAGTAAGCCAGAGACTCATATGATAGGGCTCAACTCACCAAATGTTCACAGACTTTATGTAAGACATCCTTGGGGCTCAGAGATGAATAAGACAAAGCCCATTCTCAAAAAGCTATCATCAAACTATAGAGAGGTAACAGATTCAAGCCAAAGCATGGACATGTGCGCTGGCTGGGTGGCTCAGTTGGTTAGTGTCATCCCGATACAGCAAGGTTCAGATCCTATCCCCAGTCTGGGCGCTGACAAGAATCAACCCCTGAGTGCATAAATAAGTGGAACAACAAATCGATGTTTCTCTCTCCTCCCCTTCCTCTCTCTAAAGTTCAAAAGCCAAAAACCAATTATGGACATGTTATAACAGAGTATAGCAAAGTATTAGCACACAGAGCACTTGATTGTGACTGGAGAGCTGGAAAAGGCTTTAGACGAGATGACATTTTGCTGAAGGAAGGAGAGGGTTTCTAAGAGCAAAGAGCTTTCCAGGAGCAGGGACTAGGAAGGACTCTCTCTCTATATATATAGCAGGAGACTGGAGCAGTGCAAATCCCCCAAACTCCACTACCCCCATCTCATTCTCCCCATCAGGAGACTGTGCTCTAGTTTCCAACAAGTACCTTTCTGGGGAGGAGGCCCAAGCCCCACACTTTGTTCCCTAGGGCTAGGCCTGAGTTCCTCCAATGGTTTCCGAAGCACAGTGCTCCCCACCAATCTCTCTGATTTTTGTGTTTGATGTGAGGCTTTTGGCCTGTGGCCTGCTGAGTCAACAAGGGGACGTTGAGTACTGGACTTCTGCTCCAATCTCTGGGGGAGGGAAGGACACAAAAAAATCAGCATTGGGGTGCATTGCTGCTGCGTGCTGCCTCCTTGTAGCTATTGTCTTCACCAAGCCCCTCTTACCTTTGGATCTTGGTTCTCCCGGTCCAAGTCGCATGGCTTGGGTGTGGGGATAGGCGGGCGTCTCTTTGAGCGAATCGGAATCTTGCTCGGGGTGGGTGATACACTCCGGAGGAGAGGATCCTTCTTGGTTTGGAAGGTGGTCATGACGGCTACAATTGAAATGGGGAAGAAAGGCAGGACGAGGAATCAAAGGTCAGACAGCATGGGCACTGGTGCGGTGCTCACACTCCTGATACTTCCACCTTCGCTCAAATGCCTGAGCCCAGAAGACAGGGCGCCTGCAAGGCCGGCACTTCTGGGTGCCCCTTCCAGACACCCTGCGCCTATTCTTCCGCCCCAGGACCCCGAGCTGCCTCTCCTCCTTAAAAACCTCCAAGATCCCCGTGCCACAGCTTCCCCGGAACCCCTCAGGGTCACCCCCTCTTCTTGGCTTTTTCCCTGACTTGGCTTCTGGGGCAGCTCCTTCTCCAGTTTGTAAAATACGCCGAGCTCCTGATTGGCTCGTCCGCGCTCTAGGGGGCGCGTGACGCAAGACCCAGCCGTCCAATCCGCAGGCTCCATGGGCGGGACCAGAAATAGGACTAGTAGTCGAACCTCTTTCTTGCTCGTCGCGGCTCAGCCAGCCAATCCGAGAGCGGAGCGCGGGGTGCGGGCCCGGAGGAAGGGGCGGCCGTTCTGAGGCCGGGAAGTCTGAGCCCTAACGGGTGACCTCGTACTCTCGCGAGGTCTCGGAGCTGGTGAGGGCAGGGCCGGCCGGCCGGGCTGGGGCTAGCACGGTGGGCGGCGGCACGGAGGGTCCCCGGACCCCGATGCAGGTCGGAGTGAGGGTCCAGCTTGGGGGGCGCCATTCGAGAAAACGTTTCCTCAGAGGGGCCTTCCTTGAACCCACCCTACTCTAAATAGATTTCTTGGTGATGTGCTCTCAAAGAACAGTGTTTGCTTCCTTAGAACATGTCAGGTGCTAATTGTATATTCATGAATGTGGACAAAATAAATTTATGTTTATTAAACTCGGTCTCCCCCCATGAGGGGCCTCCATAAGGGTGGTGAGCCTTTATGTGTGGCTTACTATCACATTCCCAATGCCTCGCGTTGTGCCCAGCTTATAAAGGTGCTCCAATATTTGTTGGATGAGTCACTAGATGAATGAATAATGGATCAAATGAATGCACGGAAAGACAAGAAAGATCTCCAAGAAGAAGTAATATTTGAACTTCCTCTTTAAAAATAGGACATTATTCATATCAAGCAAATATGAAAGAACACGGAGTGTTCAGAGAATACTGAGTCCTTTAGGGGTAGATGCAACACAGGGAATAAAACTAGAAAGATGGTCAGAGCTGAGGGAAAGGGAAGGTCACCTATTTCCACTAACAGGTGCTATTCATGTGCCAAATCTAAATCCTAACCACAAGCACCGTGTGCTTACTGTGTGTAAGGCCCTTTGCTAGGCATTTGGGACACCAGAAGGAAGGATGCTTTGAAGGATGGGGAAGCATCAGGATGGAGGTTGGCTGCACCGTGTCTTCATGTCCATGTAAGGGAGTCAGCACAGTGCAGATTGGTCCTCATCTTCACAAACTTGGAAACTTGAATTTGTCAGGCGACCTAGGGTAGATCTTTGGACTGATGCACTAATCAAATTTGTAAGAGAAATTAAGTGATTTCTTATGAGTGATATGCCTTTTGATAACCAAAATATTTATGCCTCGTCTTTGGGACACCAGCTTCACAGAATCAAGGCACAAGGAGACTGGTTTTATATCAGAAGTCTTTAAAAGAGCCAATACTCAGAATATCGGCCATACCCTCTCAGAGCATACAACCTGTTTTCTTTTAATATATATATATATATATATATATTTATTGATTGATTTTTTTACAGAGAGGAAGGGAGAGGGAGAGGAAGAGGGACAGAGAGCTAGAAACATTGATGAGAGAGAAACATTGATCAGCTGTCTCTTGCACACATCCCACTGGGGATGTGCCCCCAACCAAGGTACATGCCCTTGACTGGAATGGAACCCAGGACCCTTCAGTACACAGGCCGACGCTCTATCCCCTGAGCCAAACTGGTTAGGGCATAACCTATTTTCTACACATCAATCAGAGTGGTCTGCTTCTGTTTGTCTTTGCTGGACCTTTCCTACAGAGACTTAAGTTAATCTTCTTCTTCAGGTTATAATATAGTGTTGTCATTGATGTACAAGACCCAGAATCGAACCAGCAACCTTTTTTTTTTTTAATATATTTTATTGATTTTTTACAGAGAGGAAGGGAGAGAGATAGAGAGCTAGAAACATCGATGAGAGAGAAACATCGACCAGCTGCCTCTTGCACACCCCCTACCGGGGATGTGCCCGCAACCAATGTACATGCCCTTGACCGGAATTGAACCTGGGACCTTTCAGTCCGCAGACCGACGCTCCACCACTGAGCCAAACCGGTTTTGGCCGAACCAGCAACCTTTTGGTGCACAGGACAATGTTCAGTCAACTGAATCACACTGGCCGGGGCTTTTTCACAAAAAATCTGTTTTTGTGAAATTATATCAAACAGAAAATTTACATGAATAGTACACAGAGCTTTTTGCCTCAACCATTTGAGAGTAAGTTGTCAATATGTTCCCATCCCTCCCTACCCTGATACATCAGTGTCTATTTCCTGCCAACAAGGACATTTTCCTACTTACCCACACACAGCCATCAAAAGCAGGGAAAGAACATGGGTGCATTCCTACCATTCCTAAACCTCAGACCCCACTTAAGCGGCACCAGTTTTCCAAGTGACGTCTTTTATGGCAAAAGGATCCAGCCCAAGTAACACGCTGCATTTAGTTGTCATGTCTCTGTAGTCTCCTTCAATCTGCAACAGGGTTTCATTCTTGACTCTCATCACCTTAACCCTTTTGAGGATTACTGTCCATTTTTTTTTTATAGAATGTCCCTCACTTTGGGTGTGTCTGAAATTTCCTTATAATTCCACTCAGGTTACTCAGCAGCAGCAGGACAGTCACAGAAATTATGCTGTTTTCTTTCTACTTGGTCCTGTCAGGCTGTGCCTGTTCCCATGTCCTTTTACTCTACTTGGTTAAAGTGGCATCTGTCAGGTTTCTCTACTGTACATTACTCTTTCCTTTTTGTAATTAATAAGTGTTTTTTTTTTGGGGGGGGAGACCTTGAGATTATGAAATAGTCCATTCCTCATCATGCTTTCATCAGTATGGACTCAAAGTCCCAGTACATTCAGTGAATTATTATCCAATGACTAACATTGTTCATTTGATACTTGAGTTGTCTGATTTGGTCACCGGGAGTCCTTTCAAGCTGTCTTCTGTATCCTTCAGTATGACTGCGTGGGAGCGAAAACAAATTAATACTTTTCCTCCCACCTTCTAAGTTCTTCTAGCTGGGCTAATAACCAAATTAACAGAGAGATTTAATAAGAGAAGAAAAAAATTTCAATACATGTATGTGCATGGGGAATTCACATAAACATGACAATTCCAGACAGTGAAGCAACATTAGGTGTATGTGACATGTTGGACAAAGAAGAAAAGGGAGGAGAGAAACGGGGTCTTCGATTTCAGAAGTGAGAATGGGTGACTTACAGGCTTTGAGGAAGAGCAGAACATACTTGGCAGGGAAATTCTTGCTGGGCAACTCAAAAACAATGGCACTTGGGATTTCTAGTCTGACAGGCTCTGCCTGAGCCCTCTTCTTTAGCATACTTAATTCAAGACAGGCTTTTTCGGTTAAGTCGAACATCCTTAGATTTCCTTCCTGAAGTAGGAAGGAATTTTGGAGCAGGAAAAGGGAGGATGGTTAAAGTTTCTTTCTGAGTCTCCTATCGATAATAATAAAACTAATATGCAAATCAACCCACTGACCAAACAGCAGAATGACCTTCTGGACAATCTTCCCAACAACCACGCTATGACATGCACTGGCTCCAGGCCAGCCAAAGTGGGTGTGATGCGATTGGTTGGGGGGCCTCCAGCAGCCCATGATCAGCCCGCAGAGGGAGGCCAGGCTACCCTCTGTGCTTCAATCATGGAGCCCCAGCCAGGTGGGCGGGGCCTCCCTCTGCCGGGTGATCAATTGCAGGCCAGCGATGCTGTCGCGGGTATGTGGCCGGCCAGCTATCAGGCCAGTGGTCGCCTGGCAGAGGGAGGCCCAGGACAGAAGAGCAATCGCACCCACGCCTGTTGCCTGCAGAGGGAGGCAATGGGGGGGGGGGTTGTTAGGGGGGATCAGTGCCGCAAAGATGGCAAGCAGTGGCAGCAGCTGGGGGGACAAAAACCCCCATAAACCCTGATCACCGGCCAGGCCTAGGGACCCTACCCAAGGGGTCCCAGATTGCCAGAGGGTGCAGCCTGGGCTGAGGGACATCCCCACACACACACACACACACACACACACACACACACACACAAATTTCGTGCACTGGGCCTCTAGTTTCATAATAAACAGCTTAAAATCAATATTCCCAAAAAGGCAGCTTCAGGGTGGCAAAACTTTGGTCCCCTTCAAATATTCTTTCAGCATTCATCCTTTTTAGTTTTATTTTCTTTCTGGCATAGCAACATGTTTCAGGTTCAATTTATACATTCCCTGCACCAGCTCTGGAATCAGCCATTCCTCCAAGGAGCTCTGGTTCCTTTTTATAGAGGATGTTATTTGAAACCAAGAGTTGGACACTGTGCTCATTGCCATTAGGATATTGCTGCTCCAGGCTCTCTCAGTGGACAGAGCTAAGGAATGCCCTGACAGGCACATGTGCACACACACACACACCAGGCTTGCATTCATTTCTGTATCTAAATATATTGAAAACCATGAATTCAGGATTGACTTTTACAAACCATGTTACCGCCCAGCCAGTGTGGCTCAGTGATTGAGCACCAACCAATGGACCAAGAGGTCACTGGTTTGATTCCTGGTCAGGCCACATCCCTGGTTGTGGGTTCAATCCTGGTTGGGGGCACGCAGGAGGCAGCCGATAGATGTTTCTTTTTTAAAATATATTTTTGTTGATTTCAGAGAGGAAAGGAGAGGGAGAGAAAGATAGAAACATTAATAGTGAGAGAAAAATCATTGATCGGCTGCCTCCTGCATGCCCCTACTAGGGATCGAGCCCAAACC